CCTTCAATACACACTTTTTGGTCCCTGCTGAAGACACACCTGTTTCTCCTGTCCTTAGACAGGAGAGGTGTGTTTTTAGGACCCACCCTATTCCTGTGACTGTAATGTGTTTTAACAGCTTTTAATACTGAATTCGAAATTCAGGACCTGCTTTTGAAGGACAGGAGGTCCCTATAGTGTTACACTCCAAAAGGAGCTGCATAATACTGTAATTCTTTTCCAATTATTGAATAGAATTGCCTTAGCTTTGTATCAAACAATAAGGCGAATTCTATGCCTTATTTTTGAAAATAAAAGGTGAGATTTTTGAAGAGGCCACATTTCTGCCCTGGTATCATGATTCAGAGCAAGCATTGGATTAATAGTCTTGGTGATTAATCCAACACATTTTGACTGTAGTTTTGGTGGCTTTCCAATATGTTTAAGAGACATTTTTGTTTGATTATTTCCTTAAGTGATTCCACCCCACCCCAGCTTGGTAAGGAATGGTGACTTCATTCTAGTTTCTTAATAATTTCACTACTGCAAATGAAGTTCAAGGGAAAGGTGTGATGGCCATAAACATGTCCAATTTGCAGAAATGAAAAGTTACAGTAAAAAGCAGGGGGCAAATAGCATACCTCTGAGGTTAGAGAAGACCTCCAGAACATTTCAGTGCTGATCTCAGCCGGCCTAGTATTTCATCTGGCTAAACAAATTGCTAATTCTTCTTTAGACTCTCCTTTTTATTTTCACAAAATATTTGTTCACACGAAAAGATTTCTTATGTTAGTCTTTGCATTCTCCATCCCATACACACTTGCTATAGACATTCTTGACATGTTACTGGCAAACTTTGCAAGTGTGATGAAAATGCCTTTCATTTCATTTTATGTTATTTATTTTATTTTATTAAACATGCCATTTTGCAGCTAGCATTGATGGGAGGGGGGCATAATTGGTAATGTCACTGAATTCAAGAGTTGAATTCGCTGGTCAGTCTTCACCACCCCTTTTCAATGGGGTAGAAGTTCAGAAAACCACGCTGAATTGCCACCAAATGTCCCCCTCAAGTAAAATTTAAAGTCCGGATTGGAGAGACCTGTTCAGAAGAAAGCAAAGGAGGAATTCTGAGACTTTTACAAGGCATCGTTCAAGACATTTAAAACATTTCTGGAATGAAGCCATTGTTGGAAATGGTGTGGCATGCACATCCTGAAAAATGTTTAATGGAAATACGTATACTAATGAAGATTCAGGATGGATTTTTTAAAAAAATTCTCCAGCTGTTTGTCATAACAGGAGTCCTGTCAAAAAACCAGTGGCAACATCAACCCTGCCTTGCAGATGATCGCGGTGCCTGGAGACAGGCTGTGTATCCACAGCAGTGACCAGAGAAGGAATGACCACTGGGAGAAGAAATACCGGGCTGCATCTGTCGCAGCACAAGTGGGTCTCTTCATCTACCCCAGCTGCAACAAAACATGTCTCTCCTGTATCGGCCTCTACAGCCACAGCAGGCGCTGTAACTCTCCAGCAGATTGATGCCGCTCACAAAGGCACACCCTTCCATTGTCTCCCAAGATCAGGTTCTAAATAGGAATCTGGTAGGGCTGTGTAGCATATTCCCAAATCAAATCAGCTGGATGCAAGGGATCTGGGCTGTGCCTGAGTTGGGAAAGGCAGTTCTGGATCATTGTGGGTTGGGCCAACCAGAGGGACCTGGAGATCCACCTCTGGCAGGAGGAAGAATCAGGAGTTGGGGAGGAAGAAGAAACAGCAGTAAGAAGGTCTGGAAATAGAGGATCCTACTGGGCTGGCTACATCTTCCAGGGAGATGTAGGGGCTGGTGGGTGGGTGCCTTTGAATGTAGGGTGCAGAATGTTACTTCCCCAATGTCTTTCCTGTCTGACCTCTCCTTCTTTCTGCTCAATGCGTGCATGACAAATTATTTGTTTCATTTCATTTCATTTGTGACATTTCTATAAAGACCTTAAACTTTACTATGAATCAGCAGCTTTCTGCTGGTTGAAAGAATGGCTGCTTCTTGAAAACACTGACATTTTGGATTTAGAAGGTTTTAACAACGTATTTGGATGGCATGCATATCTGTGGTATGACAAGGTCGAAGCGCATAAAGCATTTAAAAACCATATTGTCAGGAAAGCACTGTTTAATGTTTGGATAAGATACAAGGATTTATTGGAAAACAAAACTCCAAGGTGGCTGTCACCAATGGAAGCGAAAGCCTTGAAAAAGCTCAATATGGAGGTCAAATGGCCAAAATATTGGGAAATTTTGGAACAAGATGGAGACAGATTGAAATTGCAGAGTTTTGAAAAACTAAAAAACAAAGTGCGAGACTGGCTTCATTATTATCAGATAATGGAGGCATACAATTTGGATAAGAAAATTGGCTTCCAGGTGGAAAAATCAAAATTAGAAACAGAACTGTTAGAACCCAAAACTAAGAATTTGTCAAGAATGTATAACTTGCTGCTGAAATGGAATACTCAGGATGAAACGGTGAAATCTGCTATGATTAAATGGGCACAAGATGTTGGACATAACATCATGTTCGCTGACTGGGAACAGTTATGGACCACAGGTTTGAAGTTTACGGCATGTAATGCCCTAAGAGAGAATATTATGAAAATGATATACAGGTGGTACATAACCCCAGTCAAGCTTGCAAAAATCTACCATTTGCCTGATAATAAATGTTGGAAATGTAAAGAAACTGAAGGTACATTTTTTCACCTTTGGTGGACGTGCCCAAAGATTAAGGCTTTCTGGGAGATGATATATAATGAATTAAAAAGGTATTTAAATATACCTTCTTGAAGAAACCAGAGGCCTTTCTCCTGGGCATAGTCGGCCAATTGGTGTTAAAAGGATAGAACTTTTTTTATGTATGCTACAACAGCAGCAAAAATACTCATCGCAAAGTATTGGAAGACACAAGAGCTACCCACACTGGAGGAATGGCAGATGAAAATGATGGACTACATGGAATTGGCGGAAATGACTGGCAGAATCCGTGACCAGGGAGAAGAGTCGGTGGAAGAAGATTGGAAGAAATTTAAAGATTATTTACAGAAATATTGCAAAATTAATGAATGTTAGAGTGATGTTGGATTGAAGCTAAGTGGCTTCTAGCTGTACAGGCTTTAAAGTTATAAATATATCAAGATTAAGGATTAGGATTAAAAAGGTTAAAAGAACGGAAAAATTGGTTCTTAATAGGTAAAAACTTAATGTTATAATATATCAGGATTAAGGATTGGGACTAAAAAGGAGGGAAAGAAATTGCTGGACTAACAAACTGAATTGGAATACAAAAGAGGGAGGTATGAGGAGGTCCGGGAAACAAGTAAATGTAAAAGAAGTTATGAAAAGACGGAATTGTTTTTAATTGCTTTTTCTTTTTCTTTTTCGTATTTTGTATTGTGTATTTTCCTTTTATTTTTAAATTTTCCTTTTTTATTAATGTGATTCCTTTTCTGTGAAACTTTAATATATATTATTATAAAAAAAAGAAGATAAAGGGACCCCTGACCATTAGGTCCAGTCATGACAGAGCTCACCCTGTTGCGGGGATTTGAACCGCCGACCATATGATCAGCAAGTCCTAGGCTCTGTGGTTTAACCCACAGAGCCACTCACATCCCTGACATTTCTATAGCACCCCGCAAAATCAAGACCTCTGGGTGGTTTCCTCAGCAAATACAAACAGACCATGAAGAGGGTGGGTGGGTGGGTGGGTGGGAATCTGAAAACAGTAGCAACACAATATCAACACCCAACCACAGAAAAATCAGCAGACGGTCAATCTTAAAGCCAGCACAAGGAGCATAAAATCAATATTAAATCAGCATTGAAAAACCGCAAGTGGGGAAAAAAAGATGAGTGCTCAGAATCTACAATGCACCACAAATATACAATGGCACACCTAAAAGTTTTTGGGGAATGAAAAGGATTTCCCCTGGTCCCAAAGGGACCATCATTATAGACATCACATGAAACTCTCTGGAAGAAGAGGGCATTCCGTAAGTGGGACACCGCAACCAAAAAGGTCACTAGGCCACCAACCTCCCTTCACGAGGAAGGCGAACTTGCAGGGCTTAAGACCTGTAAATATAGCACAGCAGAAAGAAGACGTGTGAGATCAACAGCAGGGTGAGGAGGAGAGGGCCAGGGGAGTGCGTTGGTGCGGTCCTCCCCAGGTGTCACCCTGACAGGGGTGACAAAATATTGGGCAGCACTCGTCACCGCGGGGCCTGCAGCATGCACGAGCCATGCATCTCGGTGCCAGCAATTATCGGGGTGGGGGGGTCTCATATTATTTGTGATGAAGGGAGAGAGAATCTGCAGGAGTCTGCTTTATATACAGTGGTACCTCGGGTTACATACGCTTCAGCTTACATACGCTTCAGGTTACAGACTCCGCTAACCCAGAAATAGTGCTTCAGGTTAAGAACTTTGCTTCAGGATCAGAACAAAAATCATGCTCTGGCGGCGAGGCGGCAGCAGGAGGCCCCATTAGCTAAAGTGGTCTTCAGGTTAAGAACAGTTTCAAGTTAAGTACGGACCTCCGGAACGAATTAAGTACTTAACCTGAGGTATCACTGTATCTTAAGTCGGGCCATTGGGTCTATCTAGCTCAGTATTGTTTATCACGGCTGGCAGCAGGGAACTCTCCCAGACAAAGGCGCCAACTTGTGAGGGAGATTGAGGGGCAACATCGCACTCACAATGTTGTGCATGATGTTGCGTGTGCATGGCGTCCCAATTTCATGTCAGGACATTGGAGGAACCAGGGGGCGGAGTAGAACATGGCAACATGGCTTCTCCTCTCCTGCAGTCACCACCACTGGCCAGTGGCTGTTGCCCCACTACTTCCTCTGTGGGAGAAGGAGGAGGAGCTGGACACTGAAGCCATGCTGTGCTCAACCCTGGCTTTCTAAACATTGGGAGACACCCCCACAAAAAATACTGGGGACCCTGCTCCCAGACCTACCTGGAGATACCAGGGATTGAACCTGTGACCTTCTGCACAGAAAGAAGATGCTTTTACCCCTGAGCTATGACCCTTTCATCTCTGTTGCATTAGCAAGCGACACCGTCCCTCTGGATTTCCTACTCCTGAAAAGAAATCCCAGGTGTCTTCTATGAAACAAACTCATCTGCCTTGAATTGTGGACTGGCTCCCAACTTTATTAGATGCATCCACATTGTTCATTTCATTGTATCGTTAGACATGAGATTAGCCGCTCCAAGATCCTCTTAGACCCAGAGTACAGGATAGGAACCACCGAATGAAAACGAACAAAGGAGTGGAGGGAAGGACAAACAAGATTGCACGCACGCCATGTAAGTTCTCCATTTGGATGAGAGAATTCTATAAGAGATCCGACCCCAATCAATAAGCAGATGCTTCTGTAAGGCCTAGTGAGCTTGCCTTTCCAATTCTGGACGTCCCCGCCACATCCTTATTTGGATGCCGGATCAGCCCAGCCTTGTTTTCATTCCTATCTACATTGACCAGCTTTCCAATTTCCCTTTTATCTCCTCCGGTTTTTCACACGCGCACCAATGGCCATGTGGAAGGCTACCTAGGCAGCTGCGCGGCACCGATGCCAAGCTATACCTCCCCTTTGTTTTGCGGTGGCGTGCGAGCCCATGACTGGCCACTCGGACGGTTATCTGTGGGAAAAGGCTCCTATGCAGCTGCCCTGCCTCTTTGTCCTCCTCGCGCTTACAAATTCCGGCATGGGATTTTGCTTCCTTTCATGATAAAGGGACAGACAATCAAGGGGATGGCTGGATTTACACCCCCCACCCCCTCGCAGGGCTCAAAAGTGCCGGTTCCAGCATCATCCTTGCTTTTGCTGTGGAATTAGAGGGTGTGTGGGGAAAGCCACGCCACCATCTGCTTTGTTTGCCGCCGCTTTGCTGAGCCCTCAGGTTAAAGCTAAGGCTGAACCAAATGCTCACGTTAAAAGTGGTGCTTTGGAAGAGGTTGAAAGACTTTCCCCAGGCCTCATTACTGTGAGAACATTCACTGAATTTGAAGCCTTTGCGCCGTCACTTTCCTCGCTCTTTGCTCTTGTGCCATGCTTAAATTCTTCAGGTGACGCTGTCCTCTTCTGGCAAGTTTAATTGAAAGTACCTTCCCAGCCAATTGGGGATGATGTAGTGAATGGAGAAACGTTACGATGACATAGAGCCAATCATGTATGACTGTGCAATGACATCATTGTGGCTGTGGCAACCCAAACACATGTGTGGGGTACAAGTAATAAATCATTATCATCACCATCACCACCAATGCAAATAATTGAGAGTGAGGAGAAGGCTTACTGCTATGTTTCTCAAACTTGCGTCCCCAGCTGTTGTTGGACTACAACTCCCATCATCCCTAGCCAGCAGAACCAGTGGTCAGGGATGATGGGAGTAGTAGTCCAGCAACAGCTGGGAACCCAGGCTTGAGAAACATCAGGCCTTCCTGCATCAGTCACAGGGACAATCCTAGCAAGTCAAGGATTGTGTAGTAAAAAGGCAAAATCAAAACTGAGAAATTGCCAGGTCTGGATGGCACCCACCCAAGAGTTCTCAAAGCCGCATTTGGGTGGGAGGCAGGCAGTGTAGGGCATGCAGAGAACAGTTCCAGCCTCCTGCTAAAATGGGGCCATGTGTATTTCTCTCATGCTACTTGTAAAGATAAAGGGAGCCATTAGGTCCAGTCGTGACCGACTCTGGGGTTGCGGCATTCATCTTACTTTATTGGCTGAGGGAGCCGGCGTACAGCTTCCGGGTCATGTGGCGAGCATGACTAAGCCAAACCAGAGCAGCGCACGGAAATGCCGTTTACCTTCCCGCTGGAGTGGTACCTATTTATCTGCTTGCACTTTCACGTGCTTTCGAACTGCTAGGTTGGCAGGAGCAGGGACTGAGCAACGGGAGCTCACCCCATCACGGGGATTCGAACTGCCGACCTTCTGATTGGCAAGTCCTAGGCTCAGTGGTTTAACCCACAGCGCCACCCACATCCCCTTGCTACTTGTGCATCACCCCAAAATGTGTGTCTTCAGATCCAGTACTGAGTTCTGAAGGCATTTGTAGCTGCACATGGAAACTCTCCAGTCCTCTGCAAATTACTTGCATCCCTGGCTGTTTAGGAAATATTGCTTCCCTTTCAACTGAACATCAGTCTAATTATTCCAGCCTCCTCCCTTCAGGTCTGACTTGAAACCGAATACACGGATGCGTGTTACAGTGAGGATGGGCTTCACGACATTAGTTAAATTGGAGTTAAATGGAAAAAAGCTCAGCCAACTCTTGTCCTTGAGCAATGGAAATGCCGAGTTTACGAATAAACCGCTAGACATTCTCTGAGAATGAAGCTTCCGAGGTGGAAGACGGGTCAGAAACACCAAGATCAAAGTTTCTCTTCCTTGGAAAATGATCCCTTTGACAAGCCCCCACGCTCTCTTAGTCTGCTTGTTAATGTTTTGACTGGAAATTTCAGGAAGTGTCATCAGCAACAGAATATTTTTATGAACTTCTATCACTGTGGGATTTCCCCCCTCCTCTCCTCTTCTGGTGCCGACTCTAATAGCAATGCAATGGCTGCTTAGCCAGCCTCTGTTATATGTCTCTTAAGGGAATATTTTTGTTAATTGCAAATATTTGATTGACAAACATGGGATGCAATTAGCAGGCGAGCGCAGTAGGAGTGAGCAGTGAACTGGATCTCTGAACCAACCGTTCTCAACTCTCCCAGCTTGATCTGAAATAGGCTGGAGCATTTAAACCATATGTTTGCCTCCAACTTCCCCCCACTCTTACCGCCGTACCCATCTTTACTTCTAAAAAGAAAAAGAAAAAAGAATGTTCATTTCCCTAAACTGGCTTTGATTTCTTCTTCCATTTGCCAAAGGAGCACCTTCTTTAATATCAGAATAAATCAAAATAAAGATGGGAAGCTCTTCACAAGCCTCAAATTCATGCTTGTGAGTTTTGATGGGGGCGGTGAAAATGAAGACGGTCAAAAGCCAGTGTGGGACATGCAAAAGAGTGAGGTGGAAGAGAGAACTCAGTCTAATTCAGCATTTGAGATATCTGAGGGTAGCGGTGTAGCTAGCTGCCGGGGTGCGGGGTGCAGCGTGCGAATCCTGCAGCCAGGGGTGGGGCATGCTCCATGGAGCCTCTCCACCGCCTCCCCCTCAGCTGTAGGGCGGCTGAGGGAGAGGCAGTGGGCAGATGAAAGCCCCACACTGCTATTTCAGGCAGTGCGGAGCCCACAGGTGCCCAAGCCACAATGTCACTCCCAGGAGAGACGCTTGGCTCAGTAACGCTGCAGGCCCTGTGGTAAATGCCGGTCCCCACAGGATTATCTTACATTTGTTGACTGAACTAAAAAGTTCTGTGAGCCCATTTTTTAAAACAACTCATATTTTTGTCATTTGTCACCCCCCCACCCACAAATGACACCTGGGGTGACCCGCACCCTCTGCACCCAATTCCTCTGCCACTGTTTGACGGACATGTAACACCGGTTCTGAAAGACCTACATTGGCTCCCAGTACGTTTCTGTGCACAATTCAGAGTGTTGGTGCTGACCTTGAAAGCCCTAAATGGCCGCGGCCCAGTATAACTGAAGGAATGTCTCCACCTCCATCGTTCTTCCCAGACACTGAGGTCCAGCTCCGAGGGCCTTCTGGCGGTTCCCTCACTGTGAGAAGCCAGGTTACAGGGAACCAGGCAGAGGGCCTTCTGGTGGTGCCCACCATGTGGAACGCCCTCCCATCAGATGTCAAGGAAATAAACAATTACCTGACATTTAGAAGACATCTGAAGTCAGCCCTGTTTAGGGGAGTTTTAAATGTTTGATCTTATATCGTAAAAGTTTTTAATATTCTGTTGGGAGCTGCCCAGAGTGGCTGGGGAAACCTATTATTATTATTATTATTATTATTATTATTATTATTAGTCATTGATGCAGATCATCCCTGCCAACTCTGAGAAGCCAAAACAGAGCTCCATCCAGGAGTGCCAAGTCAAGGAGGCTGAGCAGTTTTGGCCCCCAATATTTCTTGGGAGGAGGCCAGGGGCCCTCCCAATGTTCCCCAAAAATCAAGGAGCAGAGGAGGCCAAGCACAGAGCCGAGCGCAACATGGCTTCAGTGTCTGGCTCCCTCTCCTCCTGAAACCTTGAACAGGGGAGGCTATGTCAGGAGGAGAAGGAGCTACTGGCCATTGAAGCCAAATTGCTGCTACATTTGGCTCTGCCCCTGGCTCCTCCTAACCTCCTGATGTCACACATGCAACGCACACAGATTGTCCTCTCAAGCTGGCAGCTCTGGCTCCCTCCCAATACAACCACCACCCAACCCTACTTGGCGAAAGCACCAAAGGGCCTCCCAAGAGGTCCCTGAGCAATGGAGCAATGTGAGGCTCCAAGAACAAATATAGACCCTCTAGAGCAGGGATAGGGAACCTTCTTCTTTCTGAGGGCCAAAGGGCCACCTTCCGTTCTAGGCAACCTTCCAGAGGCCGCATGACAGTGGTGGGTGGGATAAGAGCGAAAAGTTGGTAGAGGAGAGGCCATAGCTCAGTGGTAGAGCGTCTGCAGAGCAAGGAGAAGGTCCCAGGTACAATTCCTGACATCTCTAAGTAGGTTTGGGAGAGACTTCTGCCTGAAATTCTGGAGAACTGCTGTCAGTCAGTGTAGATAACACTAGATGGACCAATGTTCTGACTCAGTATAAGGCAACTTTCCAGTGTTCCTTTGTAGAGCAACAAATGTACATCTTGTTGTTGTTTAGTCGTGTCTGACTCTTTGTGACCCCATGGACCAGAGCACGCCAGGCACGTCTGTCTTCCACTGCCTCCCACAGTTTTGTCAAACTCATGCTGGGAGCTTCGAGAACACTATCCAACCATCTCGTCCTCTGTCTTCCCCTTCTCCTTGTGCCCTCCATCTTTCCCAACATCAGGGTTTTTCCAGGGAGTCTTCTCTTCTCATGGGTTGCCAAAGTATTGGAGCCTCAGCTTCACGATCTGTCCTTCCGGTGAGCACTCAGGGCTGATTTCCTTCAGAATGGAGAGGTTTGATCTTCTTGCAGTCCATGGGACTCTCAAGAGTCTCCTCCAGCACCATAATTCAAAAGCATCAATTCTTCAGCGATCAGCCTTCTTTATGGTCCAGCTTTCACTTCCATACATCACTACTGGGAAAACCATAGCTTTTACTATACGGACCTTTGTTGGCAAGGTGATGTCTCTACTTTTTAAGATGCTGTCTAGGTTTGTCATTGCTTTTCTCCCAAGAAGCAGGCGTCTTTTAATCCATACATCTTACCTTTCTGCATTTGGCCAGTGTCTACACACTCACATTTCCCTCGCTATCCAGACCAAAGAAAAAGCATGATCAGAGTTCAATGACTTATTTTTGCCAGACAAAGACAGATGGGGTGCGAAGCAGGGTTGGTGAGCCATGTGGCCTGGGGAGAGAAGGAATGGCCTCGGGAAAGTCCCAAGGGCCTGGCAAGTCTGAGTTTTGCCACACTCACTTGAAAGCCACAATGGCAACTGATATCTCACCCCTGCAGGGAACACTGGGTTAAGAGTAGAAATGGGTGAATCTGTTGATTCCAGTTTCTCATTTTTCCACTCTTATGTTCACTTTTCCACATTTCCACGTCAGTTTGCATTTTTATTTTATTTTAAAGAGCCCTTATGAAAATTTAACAACTTTTTACTGCAGATTTCTCCTCAGATACATGTATCTGTATGCAATTTGCAAAATTTAGAAAAATGCCATTTTCAAAAGATCACTGTATTATTGTTCACATATTGTTTCGGAAACAGAAATTTGGTAAATTTGCCTTACCAAATTGGTAAGCTAGATCATATTTCTCTTCTATCTTTACTTAAGAGATGCTTCTTCAGGGTCCTATATGTTTCACTGCTAGGCTGAGGACAGAAAGAACTCATAGGGGATGAAGAATTTACAATGGCATTATCCATCTTATGGTGAATACATAGATTCATTTCTGAGGAAAAGGTATCCAAGTTTAAAAAGTTTACATCATAAGTCAAACATCCTATTTCCTGGGAGAAGCCCTTCTTAGAGGTTCAACTAGAGAGCCTAGCCAAGGTTCATAGAACTAAGGTAGCCATATTTTTATTTTTTAAAATTGCCAAAAATGACACTGCCTGGTCATTTTTTCAGTGATTTCCGCCCGGACACCGCATCTGACTGCAGTATTCCAGAAATGTCCGGGAAATTCCAGATGTATGGCAACCCTAATAGAACTATATTTAAGTTCCATGTAGGAAAATGGCAAGCAGCTGGCTGAGAGATGAGGGAAGCAATTTATTGATGTGTGGGTACTTTGAGAAGGCTTTGCCTTGAAGGCAGCCTATAACTCTTGAGAGCTGAGAGGTCTGTCTTTTCAAGATGTTTGGTTGGAAGCCAGCCTTTTAAGTTTGCTTGAAGGATCTCCAACATAGCAGCCACAATTATAGATCATGAGACCTTCTTGCACCAGCCACACCAGTCTACAAAGCCCCTCCAGGAAATGGAACAGACCCACTTGGCAAGGCTTCTTCTAGACATTGACAGCGGCTGTAGTGCTTGGTGCAAGCATCACAACTCTAAAAGACGTCCAGAGTCAAGTGGTTGAAATTTGGGCAACACAGGACCTGCCGCAGAACATCTGGTGTTGTTGGATAAGTGTAAGTTTACTGATAATGCTACCATGGTCTTCTTGGAACAGCGATGATGTCCCCTGCTTCTCTGCTCCCTGATCAGAGAGTTAGACCTCTGTCTGGTGAAGTTGTGAGGAAGGCAAGTAGAAGATGTGTTGGCCGTGAGACCATTAGGATGTCTAAACTTTCTGTGGCTTCCCGGGGAAACTTGGCCAAAACTGGTTTCTTGATTGCCTACTTTGGGGAAGAGAAGAGGTCCAGCAATGAGACAATTGAAACAAAGGATGGGCCAGTGGAAAAGTCCCTTGTTCAGACACCATCATTCTGAGCTGTCTTCTGGTGGTTTAGCCAGTCTGCTATACGGAGCCAAATTAGCCAAATTAGGATTATCAACATGCATTTGTTTATTCACATGTCTTTCTTATTCTGATAGAAACCTTAGGGCAGGAGCAGCTAACCTTTATTTTTATTAGCTCAAGGGAGGCTTGCAAATTTTTAATCATAAAGGCTTCAATGTAAATTTCTTTTCTTTTTTGAAGGCAAGTTCCACCCCAAATCAAAAGCACCCTGAACAAGTTCACACACACACACACACACACACACACACACACACACACACACTGCTTTGGAGATGATGAATTAACAACAGGGGTCATCTTGAGGGCCAAAAACAGTGCAGGGTAGTTTCTCCAGAACGTTGCTTTATTTAACTTCAAAATCGTAGCTTTAAAATAAATAAATAAACGCAGAAGTTTAGATTATCATCCTCCCCCGCTTGGCATGCTGACTATCAAAAATTGGATGTGATTCAGCTGGCAAAGGCAGGCACAACAAAGTATAAAACCTCCCCCCCCTCCTTTTCACACAATCCATTGTTCGCACCAAGATTACCTGAAACGTAGAATAATTGAGAATGGATGTTGCAACTTAATGTCAACTTCCCTACAGATTTCTCCCTCCTCCTCCTGATGGTACCAGTATCTTGACTAGTGGGGTCCCGATTCCTTTCTGCTTTGGGGGGGGGGGTTGAGACTATTTGTTCTTTTGCATAATGAAATGTTTTCAACGCCGGCAACCATTGCTGCCCTCTCCATTGTTCCCACAGTTTAATAACTCAACGGCAGAAAAAAATAAAAACAAAAATACAGAACTTATTATGGAAATTGAGTTGCAGAAATGGGACCCGCACCCCGTCTCTCTCACTCTCTATTACGGTACCATGGCTAAACTTGCTTAAACCTCTGCCAGTCATATGATATTGCAATATTAGCCTTCTGTCTTCTCTCTCCCCGCCCCCCGCCCTTTGTTTTCCCCTTCTTTTCTTTCCCTCTCTTCTTCTTCTTTGTGATGATTGTTTTCTGTCCATCTCAAGCCGGGTGTCAGTTCATTTAGATTTACATCAAGTAGTAAATTAAAATGATCACTCAGCAAACACTCTCGGCTTCAGTTTTCCCTTTCAGTCAGGAGTTGCGCGAGATGCTCAGAGCATTCATGCAGAAAATATTGCTGTCTAGATATTTGTCCTCTGGGTGATAAAAGAGGCATTGTCTTGGGACCTACTCAGGCCTCGGAGCTGATAGTTGCCGCGCATCGCAGCTGTGAAGTGTGCTTTGTTATGTGTCTGAGGATTAGAGTTCAAGACCTTGTTTTTCTTGAAATTCCAGACTGATCAGAGCTGCATATGTTCAGGGGAAAGCCGAGGTCGAATGGTACTCTGTCCACATTTTCGCTAGATTATTCTTGGACAGAACTCTAGGAGAATACCCGGCTGCTGAAAGGCATCCCAGGAGCTTTCCCAGTCTCTCTCTAACCCTCCACTTTCTCTCTCCCCCCCTTCATTTTTTTTATTTATTTGCAGATATTCTGCATGATACCACTCATGGATTTTTATTTTTTCAAAAAAAGAGGCACAGTTTTATCGACGTGCATCTGAAACAAAAGACTGCAGCTTCATTGAATCTACCAGCTTAGAAGTTGTGCCGGCAAAGCAGGGAACTTGCCCCTTTGTGTAATATTGACTGTCAGGAAAGGGGAACCTTTTAACCATCACCCAGTGCAAATAATAGTAGGGTCCAAGGAGAGGAAAGCTGGTCTCTAGGTGTGCCACCCGCCTTAAAGGGACGAGGGCTGACATTAATTGGGGATGCGATTACCCACCTTATCAAATCTGTTTGTCAGTGGTTGCTTTTATATTTGAAAGCCCCTCTGAGTGGTTCCTATGTGGAGGGGGTAAACAATGCGTTATTTTTACAGGGTACCTCGGGTTACAGACGCTTCAGGTTACAGACTCCGCTAACCCAGAAATAGTACCTCGGGTTAAGAACTTTGTTTCAGGATGGGAACAGAAATCGTGCTCCGGCCGTGTGGCGGCAGCGGGAGGCCCCATTAGCTAAAGTGGTGCTTCAGGTTAAGAACAGTTTCAGGTTAAGAACGGGCCTCCAGAACAAATTAAGTCCATAACCCGAGGTACCACTGTATTATTATTTAAAGAGAATGAGACTGAGTCTGTGTATATATGTCTTTGCACTATTGTATTTTTTGAAATTATTAGCCAAAAGTCCATCAAATGAGCAGAAAAGCAGATACAGTTCCAGTACAGTCATACCTTGGAAGTCGAACAGCTTAGTTCCCGAATATTTTGGCTCCCAAACATTGCAAACTCAGAAGTGACTGTTCCAGTTTGCGAACTATTTTTGGAAGCCAAACGTCCGACGAGGCTTCCGTGGCTTCCGATTGGCTGTAGGAGCTTCCTGCAGCCAATCGGAAGTCACACTTTGGTTTCCTAATGTTTTGGAAGTCGAACGGACTTCAGGAATGGATTCTGTTCAGCTTCCAAGGTGTGATTGTATTTTCAACAAACCCGCTGCTCTGCGACTATCCCCTGTTCCCATCCATTATGGGGGCTATTGCAGACCTCCAGCTTTGCTTCCGAAATGGGCCTACACAAGAGAAGGGATCCATTCAGTCCTATAGAGGGACTAAAAGGGTACACTGTTGACAGATTTCAGCATAGTCGGACTTCGCCAGCATGGGGAGTACATTGCATGCCAAGGACCAATGGCCCCATCATCCCCGATATAATGAAATAACCAGACAGGACAAATAGTGTAATTGTAAATTGGGTAAACTAAGCCCAAACTTTTGCTGATTACAAATATGAAAGGTTTGGCATAGGCATTGGGTATGCCACTTGAACCCCAACCTGCCTGCTGGGAGTGTTTCTAGGGTTACCTCCACTCCGGGGTAGGTTTTCCATGACCCACATCAAATAGGGGCACCCGCATTGGAGTGCCATGGCCCCCCAATCCTGGGTTGACCTAAATCAGCTTGATTCAGGTCAAGATCCAGGATTTGTCCCATGGGCTGGGGGTTCCCCCACCCCTTTCTTAACATGACAGTAGGAGACCCTGCACTCACTCCCATTACACCACTCTGGACCCAATTAGAATTAGTGTGATCATACTCCAGAGGACTTCTGGGCAAAAGCAAAATAAAAACATGGCGGCCGCCAGCTGTTGGTGTGTCTGGAGATGCCCCCACCAGAGCTATGTAGCATGTTTCAGACCTGGGACCTACAAGTTTTCATCCAAATTCTGCAACATCTCTTGGCTTTATCAAGTAATGTTGATCTGGTATCTAAAGTAGCAGCTAATCCACTATTATTGTTGGAGCTAATCCACTATTATTGAGAGTAGTCTTGTCTCCTTTTGCTCCTTGTAGAAAGGACACAACACATCCAACCCTTTCCCCAGCCCTCAGCCTCATCCCCATTTTCCCCCTACCTGCTATGTCTATGATAACTCTTTGCTTTCCCTTGCCGCTTGGTGACACACCAGAGGTACATTGGAGCATTATTTGAGCATTCCCCTCCCTAAAACACATGCACACAGTGGCTTAGGCTGGCTGGCCATAATTATAGGCCAGGAAAAGTAGAACACAAGGTTAATAGCTCACTGGTTTACCAATGTTGTGATGTCGTAAGCCCCACTCACAGAAATGGGAGCCTTGCGTAGCTTGGTGGATATAAGACCGAAATAAAGGGAGGGGGAATCAAAATCATGTTGGCTTTTCTCTTTGGGGCAACCGTAGTTCAAATCCAGCTTAAAGCTCGAAAATTAAATGAGTCCCTTAACCTCTCCGAGCGAAGGAGGTGATCCTTCCAGGTCACCAGCGAGGTTGCTGGCAGGTCAGTGTGTTGACGCTGGTGTTGCCTTGGCCTCTGCGCTCTTGCTTAATGGCATAAACAAAGGAATTAAGGTCCAGAGCTTGGCTGGGTGCCAGAGAGGCAGCAAAGCTTTGGCAGTGATGTGTGCACAGCTAGCCAAGTCCAGGGAGAATTCTTGAGTCGTTGGGCAGGATAACGGCAAAGCGGTGGTGGGAGGAGAGAAAGAGGGGGGGCAATGAACTCTAGGCTTCATGTGTATGAACAAAGACAACTGGCATTCAGCGCTCCTGCTAACAGGATCAGAAACAAGGCATGCTCCTCTATGCGATCCTGGAGCATTCAGTTTTGTTTACCAACATAGAAAGAGGCCAATACCCACTGTAACTCAATGTAGTCTGCAGTAACTGGCAGAAACTCTCCAGGGTTTCAGATGCTCTACAGGAGATGCCAATGTTTCAACGTGGGACCTACTGAATGCAGAGCAGATGCCATACTGATATGGTCCTTCCCCAAAGGCATAGACCCTGGAAGCTGCCTTATACAGTGGTACCTCGGTTTAAGTACTTAATTCGTTCGGGAGGTCCGTTCTTAACCTGAAACGATTCTTAATCTGAAGCACCACTTTAGCTAATGGGGCCTCTCGCTGCGACCGTATGATTTCTGTTCTCATCCTGAAGCAAAGTTCTTAACCTGAGGTACTATTTCTGGGTTAGCAGAGTCTGTAACCTGAAGCGTATGTAACCTGAAGCGTATGTAACCTGAGGTACCACTGTACAACATAAGGTTATTGGTCCATCTAGCTCAGGGGCCAGCAACCTTTTTCAGCCATGGGCCAGTCCACCGTACGTCAGACCATGTGGTGGGCTGAACTATATTTTTTTGGGGGGGTGAGAATGAATTCCTATGCCCCACAAATACCCCAGAGATGCATTTTAAATAAAAGGACACATTCTACTCATGAAAAAAAACACGCTGATTCCTGGGCCGTCCACGGGCTGGATTGAGAAAGCGATTGGGCCACATCCGGCCCATGGGCCTTAGGTTGCCTACCCCTGATCTAGCTCAATATTGCCAACACTGGCTGGAGATATATCTCATGAGTTTCAGGCAGGAGTCTCCACGGTCCTGTCTGGATATTCCAAGGATTGAACCTGGGACCTTCTGAAGGCAAGGCAGATGCTCTACAACTGGGCTACATAATAATAACAATAACAAGAATAAGAATAAGAATAAGAATTTATTATTTATACCCCGCCCATCTGGCAGAGCCTCCCCAGCCATTCTAGGCAGCTTCCAACAAAATATTAAAATGCAGTAATGCATCAAACATTAAAAGCTTCCCTAAACATTCCTTTCCCACAGTACAACATAGACCATGGGTAGGCAAACTAAGGCCTGGGGCCCAGATTCGGCCCAAACACCTTCTAAATCCGGCCCACGGATGGTCCGGGAATCAGCGTATTTTTACATGAGTAGAATGTGTCCTTTTATTTAAAATGCATCTCTGGGTTGTTTGTGGGGCATAGGAATTCGTTGATTTTTTCTCTCTCCAAAATATACTCTGGTCCCCCACAAGGTCTGAGGGACAGTGGACCGGCCCCCTGCTGAAAAAGTTTGCTGACCCCTGACATAGACCATGATTTAGCAGAATGGGAGAGAATCATAGTACAGTGGTACCTCAGGTTACATACACTTCAGGTTACAGACTCCGCTAACCCAGAAATCGTGCTTCAGGTTAAGAACTTTGCTTCAGGATGAGAACAGAAATCATGCTCCAGCGGTGCAGCAGCAGCAGGAGGCCCCATTAGCTAAAGTGGTGCTTCAGGTTAAGAACAGTTTCAGGTTAAGAACGGACCTCCGGAACGAATTAAGTACTTAACCTGAGGTACCACTGTACCGTTAGATGATGCTACTGGCAGACATGATGCCTATTGTGGAGAATATTTGTCCATTCATACGCCTAATTATTTATTAAAATTCTTAGCCAACATGCAACACCAGTTCTCAAAATCCCCGAGCATAAGAGAGCAAGAAAAGCCCTGTTGGATCTGGCCCATCTATCCCAGCAACCTGTTCACCCAGATTCCTTTGGAAAGGCTGCAAGATGGATTGCATAGATGTGCTTCCCAGTTGAGATTCCTGCAACTGGAATTCAGAGGCATACAGTCTCCGAGAGTGGAGGTGGAACACAGCCATCATGGCTAGGAGCCATTGATGGCATGGTTCTTCCTAACCCCTTTTTAAAGCCATCCAAGTTGGTGGTCATCGCTACATTTTGTGGGAGCAAATTCCATAATCCAACAACACTTTGAGAGCATGAGGCTGGGGACATCTGGATTTAAATACTTCATGTTTTCTATATAGGAAAGCAAACGTATTGGTCTTTTCGTGCAGGCTAGCTACACTTCGTTCCCTCCCCAATTCCTGGTAGCTGTGAAAAGAAAATCGTAAATTGGTAGAGGTGCCACTAAAGTGAAATTTGTGGCGAATCTGGGGAGACCTAGTCAGCTGAAACAGCTACTGAAAATGTCAAAGACCTCCTGTAAGATTAGGAAAATTTAAGGGGTCTAGGGATGAAATTTTCTGTGTGCCTCTTGGATGAAAACTACAAATGAGTGAATCTATCAATTTTGGTTTCTCTCCGTTTCTCATTTTTCAAACATCTTCCACATTTCCACATCAGATTATGCTTTGTTTTCAAAAGAATTCCTCACCAGCATATTAATGTCAATTTCTCCAAATATACTCATTTTAAAATACAATGTTTTGTATCCACATTTTTGCAAGCAAATTTCTATAATGTATGTTGTATGCTATTTGCATGAATAAATATACATTTTAATGAATATTTTACCTAACTAGATGTGTTTATATATACCTTTATTTGGCTGGAGAACAACACTGCAAAATTCAGAGACGTGTGAATTTTAAAGGATAGAGTTGCTTCGGTCTGCATATCCTGCAAATTAAACAAGCTTGAATCCAAATACAAACTGAAGTGACTTTCACCTCCATCCCTAGTCTAGTTTTCTGCTCTGCACCCTGCCAACACAGAGGGTTGTTACCTAGCTTTGCAAATGCTAAGTAGTTTAATAATCAAATTTCACCCAAATGCATAAAAAATATATTATTATCTTATCTTTCTTGACACTGATATCTTCAAACTTTTGTGTTTGACAGTGACTGATCTCAATCATTTTTTAAAAAAAATTATTAGCTGGAATATGTACATTTGATGGAGAGGTTACGAAAGATCGTGTATGGATTCACTGCGGGGTGTCTGAACTGTCAGCAATATGCAAGACACAGGAGGAACATGAAGGCAAAATGAGAACGTGAGCCTGGCCATCTGAATGGAGTGTTACCCTGAAACAAAACACCTGTCTCTCATCCGAGGATGTACTGACAAGCAATAATTTAGTTGTCCAAACACAGAGCTTTCTGGATTCCAGACTGCATAAAAAGTCAAAAAGGCTGAGAAAGATGCGCCGATAAGATTCAAAGGTAGCCTGTAGCACTGGCAAATCATTCAAAAGGGGTTGGCTTCAAGTTAAAAATTGCAACCAGCATCTCGTCCTAAAGTGAAATTTGAAACAAATATGGAAATTCCTGCCCAGGTGAAGTGTCTAGGGCATTTTGAAGGAGTCCAAAGAGAGTTGAGAGAAGCCTGGGGAAATATTATCAGTAAGAGAACAGGCTTTTCCCCATATATCTCTAGGTTTCGACTCCAGTGAAATTGGAAAATCTAGATCTGGTGAAGTTTGCTAAAGGGAGCTATGTTGAAGTCATCAGCTTTCAAGGATGAGGTACAACCAACTCATTCCTAAGAAAAACTACCTTCTGGTCATACAGTGTTCACACAACAGTGCTTAAAACAGGGGTCAGCAAACTTTTTTCAGCAGGGGGCCCGGTCCACTGTCCCTCAGACCTTGTTGTGGGGGGGGGGGCTATATTTTGGACAAAAAAATGAACGAATTCCTATGCCCCACAAATAACCCAGAGATGCATTTTAAATAAAAGGACACATTCTACTCATGTAAAAACACCAGGCAGGCCCCACAAATAACCCAAAGATACATTTTAAATAAAAGGACACATTCTACTCATGTAGAAACACACTGATTCCCAGACCATCCGCGGGCCAGATTTAGAAGGCAATTGGGCCTGATCCGGCCCTGGGCCTTAATTTGCCTACCCATGGTTTAAGACAAGGTCATATTGTCAAGACAGGGGACTTGAAAGGTGGAAGCTTCTCTCATCAGTGGCATGTGATGGGCACAGAGTTTAGGTCACATCCCACCTGTTCTGGTTTAGAATCCAGCAAGCAAAGTCAATGTCACACAGTGGCCTGCTTCCAACCAAGGTCAGAGTCCAATGAGCAAGGTCAGGCAAAGCAAAGGTCATCTTTCAGAGAGGTCAGTCAAACAAAGCCCACACCCTGCAATCATCTTCAGAAGCCCTTCCTTCTTTGTGATCTCCTCCCTGAGAGGTCCAGAGCGTGGCAACATACGAACATACCTTTTCTGTGGTGGCTTTCAGTTTGTGGAACGCATTCCTCAGGGAGGCTCCCCTGACACCTTCACTACCTATCTTGAGGCAAAAACATTCCTCTTCTCCCATGCCTTTGGCCCATTAAACAACCTACGGCCTTTTAAACAGGGGCAGGGTCATTGTTTTATTGTATTTTTATATTGTAACCTCCCTGTGATCCTCAGATGAAGAGCATTATTGAAATTTAATAAATAAGTAGGTCAAGATAAGGACAGTTATGGAAGGTAGATCAAGGTCCACAAAGTAAAATCAGGTAACACCCTTGTTGTTGTTTAGTCGTTTAGTCGTGTCCGACTCTTCGTCACCCCATGGACCAGAGCACGCCAGGCACTCCTGTCTTCCACTGCCTCCCGCACTTTGGTCAAACTCATGTTAGGGTGTAGGCAACACTCTACAGAGCCCCAATTGAAGGCCAGGCTATTACCAATCAGAAAATATGAGCCTCAGTGTCCTACCAGCAAACCCAGACTGTGCCTTACATAGAACTACAGCTTTATCTGGGTAGCAAGTCCCACCTCTCAAATGGGACCAGTCTGTTTTAGTAGCCTTATACTTCAGCAGCACAGCAGAGGATGGGGTTCTACCATGGCTTCCAAGATGAGGTCTGAAGATTTAAGTGCAATCTCTTCAAGCTGGAGATGTTCTGTTGCTGGAACTCCTGAGGGATCTAGAGATGCTGAATGCTATTCTGAGGGCAAATCCTTCTCCTAGTTCAAGACGCTCTCTGTATCCATGGCCTTTTCCTCTAAGAAGTGGGAGTGGAAGCCCTGGGTCATGACACAAGTTGCATCTTCCCACAAATCCATGAACAGGAGTACTGCCAAGTCAAAAGAGAGTTGGGTCTTAGCAAGAGGTCCTTTCCACACCATGTGAGGACTGGTCCTTTAGTGTGGTGGCACCTAACCTCATATTATCTGAAAAGCACCTGTTGAAGAGCTTTCTCTTTCAATCAACTTTCTAAGTCGGCATTGTTATCCCTGCAGGTATCTGCATTCGATTTGAAATTGTTTTTATATCAACATTGCTTTACCATTTCATAGGAATGATTCATAAACGATGGTGATGTTTATCTCAACAAGGTGATATATCTGTAGAAAAATTGAGCTTTTTCATATCATATTGGAATGAATGAATACGGGAGGCATCTAGATTATTGGGGAGATACAGAGTAAAATACATTTGTTGTCTAGTTTTATGCAAAATATCCTTGGCTTTAATAATTCCTTTTGTAGAACTGTGATAATTTAATAAATTAAAAGGAACAATCAGGTTATGTTGCACTATATGATGTTGAATGTTTTTGCAAAGTGTGCATTTAATATTTATATAATATTTCTGTATATATAGTCTTTAGATGTTTGTATTAAATAATCATATTAATAAAAAATAAATGTAGAAACATATAAGAATAGAAAATATCAAACATTAAAAACTCCCTGATGCAATAATAATACACACAGACCTGTCACTCACCATCCTTAGGAAGGAAAAAAACACAGCTTTATGGCTCCTCCTACCAAAAATGCATGATTCTGTCCACTTGATGGGAGATTTCCATCTCTGTTCTGCATAAAGTCCTATAGCACCTTACTCTCCCAATTCCAAACAAAACAAAAAGAAAACCCATTACCCCAAATAACTTAAG